ACATCCAATCCACCTTTCTTATACACTTCATCTTATTCAAAATTTTCAACTCTTCACTAATGTGGGATATCTCAAAATCAACCATAATTCACCAACACTTCAATACTTAATCCTCATTATGCCACCTCAATACTCTTGGTTCTTCCTTTAATATATATATAGATTATAACATATAAAACAGTTTAGGTCCTTCGATTCTTAAACTATTTACAAATCTCACCCCTACCAATATCTTTGCATACGGTGAAACAGAACTCCAAGATCAACTAAACATGCTACTCTTTGAGGATTGGAATTTATCAAAAGAATTTGACTTTGAAGAAATTGAAATGGAATTCGACCATGTGTTTTGGTTGTTAGGAATTGGAATGAAACTTCTCAATAGAATTGGAACATTCCTCTTTGTTTGGACTATCTTACTCATCGCCCCGCCTACACCATGCCACTATTGTCGTCGTCACAGGCTCACAACTATCACCCTGCCCCACCCCTACCTAAACCCTGCCCCACAACCCCCACCCCGCCCATGCTCTATATGTGGGGTTGTTAGGTGTAGGCAGGGTGGGGCGAGGCGGTGGGGATGGGGCCATGACGAACAATAATAACATGGTCGTGGTGGGTGGTGACGAAATTCAATGAATTTTGAAGGATTCCATCAATTTCAAGAAATAAATCAAATAAAAGAATTGAAATTTGGTAAAAAAAATTATCACTTCAATTTCATCAAATTTTTTCGAATTCCACAAACCAAACGGGTCTATTAAATGTGAAAATAAATCAAGTAAAATAAATATTTGAAGTATGATTTTGGTTGATTAAGAAAGTCAAGTTTTTTTAATTATTACATAAAGTAGAAAAGAAGTTAAGCCAATAAAATAAATCAGAGTTTATCTTTTTCAATTAACTATTTTAACCAAATAAATAATTTTTAATTATAACTATTATATTAATTATACCATTTTTAGCAAATGAACTCCAATTTTATCATCCTGCAATATAAAAACTGAAAACTCTAATTTTATGATGATAAAATTGAAGTTCATTTCTTAACGGTCTTTGATGATTTTGGTGTTAAAATATCGATAATAAGTTGTTTATTGCAATTTGCAAGGATAGAAAAAGAACAATAAAATTAAATTATCTTTAACGTAATCATTTTCTTAATTTAAACAAATCAAATCATAAAATTATATATTATTTTATTTAAATTAAAATTTAATTACATTAAAATAT